CTGGATTTTAGGGGAGACCAAGACACATATAACATGTTGATGGAACAATTTATGAACCAGAGGGAAGAACAAAGGACATGCACAGACCCAGTGCAGACCCAGACGCAAAAATCCTCATTAATTTATAGCAAACAGATTGAGGCTTTCTGGACCAATCAAAGGAAACGTTTGTTTTCCTTAGCACAGATTTCCCAGAAATGCTCCGTGTTTATTGCCCAGAAAGAGTGTTTAAAAGATATTCAGCTGTAAATGTTGATAATATTAGATAGAATTGTTTTAATAGGGTGCCTACAGTACACACTAGAGTTTACTCTGCACTACTTGCTGCGATTACGCTGATTTCAGTGGAACTATGCAAAATTTATGCAACCATAAGTTGGATTGTATTGCTTTTGGAAAGCCAGTTCAATCTATTCACTTAATTTAATGGCCTCAGAATTAATCATACACATTTTTATGTATCAAAGCTTTCTGTATTGTGTAGGTACCCTTACTGACAGTGGGTTTGATTTTATTTAATTTTTTAATCTATTTGTCTATTATATAACAAAATATCAACCCAAGTGGCATTTATTTTATAGAGAAATATAACAGTAACACCTATCAAGCAAAATAAGTGTGAACTTAAGGAGAACTGAATTTATAAATCCACAAAACAACGACAACACCAACAAAACCTTAGAATCATAGAAGCAGTTCAGTTCAAGAAAAAAAAAAGTTCTGTAGACATTTTCAGACATTTTTAAGTGGTTTAATTGCACAAATGTCGCCATTTAGGACTGTTGTGTGTGTAGAAATATTTGTTCATGGCTCTTTCCTAATAGCACTGATGCTTTGTGTATCAAGCCTCAAGATTATATCGCAATTCCAGTATTCCAGCTGTTCCTATATTATTCAGCAGAAGTAAAATTCCTTTCTTGAAGTTCAATCTGTCCAGTTGTAGTATCAGATTACAGATTCAAAAGAATCTACCAGGTCTTGTGTTATGGTCAAATCAAAAGGCAATTCATTTTTATAGGAGCATGGAAAGGAAAACAAGTGTTACGAAACTTGGCAGCACACAGATCCAGGGACATGTCATAAATTTATGGTGGGTGGAGCTTCTAGTGTCCTAACACATGTGAACTTTTTACCCAGGAGCTTTACAGCAACATACAGTCATTAATCTTCTCAACTTTTCAGAGTGGTTTCTTTGCTCATAACTCAGACTTCACTTTCATGCTTCAGTCAAACACACTGTCAATAGGGCAATGACCTCATGATCACACCTCGTATAAATGTTCAGGAAGTAAAGTTTACCAAACCAGAGCTGTTCTACGTTACTTTAAATGCTCGCAAGCAAAGGTAAACACAAAGTTCATGGTTCAGTAGTTAAGCTCAATCAAGAATGTGTGGCCTAATGTTGATTTCTACAAAATTTAATTTCCATTTTTTTCTAAAAAAGAAAAGAAAAGGGGGCTACTATTGAATCCCTTACAATAGAAGTGAATGTGGCCAATCCATTTTAGTTTTATTTATATACATTATAGTATTTATTAGTATTTTGAATTAACTTTTATTTTTAGATTTTCAGTTTTCAATTTTATTCAAATTTTTAGTTATAATAAAAAAATTATGTCATTTTATAGGTTTATGTTTTTTAATATTTCTGTATAGCTTTAAATCATTTTTAGTTCAGTTTTAATTTGAGAAATTTTAGTACTTCAATTTAAACTTTTCAACTTTCAAAATTTGAAGTTTTTCATCTAAAATTGCATCTTATATTTCTGCTATATTTCAATTGCCAAAAATGATTTCAAATCATTTTAGTGAACAATAATATGAAAAATCGTAAAAACTTAAATACTCACTGTTTCAAAAGTTTAGAGGAAATAGTTAACACTATTTGTGTTAACTATTTGTGTTGAAATTTTCTTATATCCAATTTTACAACTTTGTCATCTTGACAACACAAGACTATAAAGGCCCAGATATACTCGCAAAGTTCCTTTTTCGTTCTTCGGGTAAAAAAATTTTCCGAAATACGTGCTCAGCAGGTATACTGTTAGCGAACATCCTGTTTAGATGAGTATGTAAGTATGTGATACACACTTTCCATTCAACACACAACAAAAATGACAGCAGTTAGAAAACAGCTGCTAAGAAAGCGTCTGATCATAGCGATGAGGACATGTTTGCACAAGCTCTGCAATTCGGTACTCCAGTCAAGTCGCGTCATGTTTATAAACTAATGTATACAATGTATTGCTTTAAAGCTAGCAGTTTTACAGTATTGAACTTGAAAAAAAAAAACAGCATCAGTTTCAATTAGAAATACAACTTAATTTTCTACTATAAAGCTGCTCTCCAGCGTGTTCATGTTTTGAACTGGAGAAGATTACCACTGTCAAAGAAGGCAGAGCCTACCTATTACATCATCACCACGGACCAATCTCGAAGGTGTTTACCAGCTGGAGCGAACTTTTCTTGTAAGTTGTAAGTACCTCAATGTGACCATTATTTTTGGAGGCATGCCACAAATGCTGTTGGATTGAGCTTAGCTTGTATTGAACTCAGAATATTTTTTAATTACCCACATTCTCACGACTTCTCACAATAGTTCCACTTTTGGAGCCGCTGTCATAATAATACGTCAAGTAGCTTGCATTTGAAAGAGAAGGACACACCTAAACACCCACCTTCACTGCAGAAAGCTGCTGTAATAACACTTTGCTCAAAGAGCTTTATCAAAAGCCCAGTCGGATTCATGTTTGTACAAGTCATGCTACTGTCAACACTTGCACAAGGACCAAAACTTTACCAGAACCAGAACCCCCATCTTCTCTCTTCATGCTGGCAGTGAATCTTGTGTAAATTCTGACAGGAGCGAGCTTAAATCTGAGGCCCAGCGTGTGTTTCTGCAGCGTGCTTCGAGGCAGACGATCTCTTCAAAGGCCCGCTTTGAAATAACATAACAGCAGGTTGATTAGCTCCCATGTTCGGCCCACATCTTCATACATGGCACTGACAATCCTCATTGTCTTGTCTTTCGGGATGATGAAAGCATTCTTCTTACAATCCCTCATTGAAAACAAACCCAGACTCTAGCAGCAGTAGCTTATCTGCCTCGGTCTAGCCCCATTGCTTAAGATTACACAGACAATCTTATGCGTTTTTAATGCACATGTATTTTGATGAGGAGATTGTCATTTAGGAAAAACATACTGGAGGACAGTGCTTTTGTCATGGACAGGAATACAAAATTGAGTCATTGAAGGATTTTGCAAGCTCTGAATGCTGATATGAGTTGAGCAGGAGCGGTTGTTGACTATAATCTGTTTATTAGTTATCACTGTAAAATAGCTCATATTTGATGTAATTCTGTTGCAGGCACTGTGAATGTCCCCAATCCTCACTTTGTCTAAATGTAGATTTTCGCTCTCAGAGGTAAAACATCATCAGCTACACATACTGCTGGCAGACTGATAATGAGGTTTCCAAGCTGTCCCATCCGAGGGAGATGATCACCGCTACAACTTGCCAAACGCATATCAAACGTTCCAAAAAAATGTTCAGTGTTTTGCAGTGAGTTTCCCCCCCCCTCTTGGTTCCCACAGAGCCATTTTAATTGGATGTGGGGCTGCTTTTTAACTTCAGAAATAGAAAACAGCTTCTCATGTTTAAAGGCTTGGTGAACAGTCAGAATGGGGTGGTCAAAATCTGTCAATTAATTGTGGAAGCTTGGAGAAAATGTTCCTTTGTTGCTATTCATTAAAGGCTTTTTTAGCTAGCTGATTTTATGACATTTTGTTACAAAGATTCTGTTATAATTAATGCGCTGTGGATTTACATGAAAACCTGTATACAGTTATGTTTCTCTGTTCACAAGTGGATCCTGATGTGTTCTCTAAAGGTTTATGCCGACCTTCTTTGATGCCCTAATTCTCCCCAAGGATGACAAGGTTCCTACAAATGAGAGTAACATTTTCAGGGGTGAAGAAGTTGATGTTTTATTCATGACTAATCTCTCTACTTGTGAGCCAAATTTTCCCCTGGGAAATTTGTTAGATAAAAATACAACCAGTGACAAACAGTACATTCAACTTTTATTTTATTGTTTTTTATTTAATTATTTGATAGAAAACGAAATATTTCCAAATGCAGAGTGAGACATCTGCATGACATTTTAATACTTGGTTAAGTCAGAGGCAGATTTACAATCCTTTCCTCGTAATACTGGGAATATTTTAGGAGGTGCTGTTTTTTAAAATTCCATTCCTTTCTATTCATCTTCTGTTGTGACATCAACCCTCAAAAAACCTGGCCTCAAGTCTATGGCAGAAAGGTCATGAATTTGATAAGCGTGACATAGACATTACATGTAGTGCAGAAAAGTGAGAGGAGGATCTAAAGGGTCATTATGAGAATGTCATAATGTGTCCAGTGAGTAAAAGGATTTTCCAGCTGGTATTTCAGGCAGCGATAAGACCGACAGGACTACATCTGTTATTTTTCCTCCTCCTCTTTGCAGAGTGTGATTACCTGATGATGAGCTTGTGTACTCTTTACTTCACAAATCAGCTCCATTCAGTTTGAAGTCCTCCAGGCCTGAGAGGATTCTCAAGCCAATTAACATTTAGCACAGTGATCATTCGCTGAAATTTGCTTCTCCAAAGTGTAAGGAAAACTGTTCCAAAAAATATCAGATAATTCCATTAAATTTTGCTCATAAAATTCAAAGATCATAAAATTTGGTGTTGCAACATAAAAAAAATAAGATAAGTCTGAGATGTTCCAAGTTTTCCAGTGCATGTAGATGCAAGTAATTTCCTGTTGATTAATTCATTGGCCGCTTGAGATCCATGAAGTGCTCATTTCCTTTGCTTGTTTTGCAGTAATCGGTCAGGCCATTTTTGGCTATGCGTTTTAAGTGTGTCTGGGTAGCAGTGATTACATGGAGGAATTAAGCTGTGATTGAATCTTCTAGTTTAACGCATTCACCGCTTTTTTGCCATTTGCAGGAAACATTTCGAAGAGCTGTACTGACAATGGCTGGACAGAAATAAACCCAGTTGTCGTTGCGTTCAACTGTGGCTACGACCCAAATATCACAGAGGATGGAAACATGGTGCGTATGAATGCTTTTTTTTTTCATTGTTTTGATTGGCATCCAGTGTGTTTTAATTAGTAACTACATACATTTTCACAGGTACTAAATACGCAATCAACCAAGTTTTCTTTTATTAAGTTACATTGTTTGGCATTTTTGCCTTTGTTGAATAGGACAGTCAAAAAGAGACAGGAGGTGAGAGGGGCACAGTATCGGGAAAGGGCCATAAGTTCGGTCGCCTGAAGTGCTGTTGCGCTATATGTCAGAACGCTGCCCACAAGACTATGGCTTCAACATCAATCGAGTTCACTTTTAAATCTAAAATAAATCAATTAATACAATGTATGGTAGGTGCCCAAAGGTTAAGACTCTTTAACCTCAGCTTGCAGTACCTAAAAGTATTAACACATAGAGAGTGCTGTTTTTCCTTTATATCCTTGCTGTAAAAGCCTTGATGATATTCAGACCAAAAAATAAAATTGAGTAACTTCTCAGGTTTGGACTCCATAGCACATTTTTTAATGACCAAGGACTGCCCAGAGGTCGTCTGACTGACATGTAAAGCAACCAATCACAGTTCGTTTTGTTCTGCGTTAGGGGTGTGAAAATGTAACGTCGATGTCCCTACAATAATAGTATGTAAAACTCCTGGACGTATTTTAAAGAGTCTATGCCGCGAACTTTACATACTTCACATCCAGCGTTTAGTTGATCCTGATAAGCGTTTATTATCACAGTTGTAAACACAATGGTGTTCTTCTTATATGAGAGGGTTGGGCCTCACGGCATCTTTGTTTCCAGGCGGACCGACATCCTGTAGAATTCAACCAATCAGATGACGACATCTAAAATCCTGAAGTGTTTTCAGTTAAGTTTGCCATATGCATCAGACGTTTAGCCAGCGGTCCGTGGGCGGTCTGAGGCTGAGACTGACAGTAGTGGGGCTTCATGCTGATTTAATCTGTGTTTGAATCGGTTGGGTAAATGATTCAATGACTCACGCAATGAATAGCCACGTTTCCACTGAAATTACCCGGAACAATTTGTCCCAGCAACTTTTTTCCCCCCAGACCTGTTGCTGTCTGCGTTTCCATCGTGGTCTAAAGTACCGTGAAGATAAGGCAAGTTAGTCCAGTGACATAGGACTGCGGTCGACTTTCCAGTTCGTGTTGGATTTCATCCTCCGTATATAAGCTTAATAAAGACTGAACTTCGTCTTCGGTCCATCGGTTGTATTTTTTTAAAGTCCATCGTTGATTTGAATAGCATACAACTATTACTGCACGTACCGTAACTGACTTTTAAAAACGGTGGTTGAAATAAAAAGATGTGTGTGGAGTCAACCAATCAAAATGCTGCATGAACTCAATCAATCAGCATGTTCAGCGCCCAAGTCCCACCTCCGAAAGTTCTTGAACTTTGAAAAAGTACTACCTTGCGAGCAGGGACTTTCTGAGGGGGACATTTTTACCCGGAACTTAATTTAGACCCTGGTACCTGGGGTCACAACACACCGAAGTACCACCCCAAAGTCCCTAGTTCCTGGGGATGGTTCCTGCGATGGAAACGCTGTTAATGACTCAGACAGTGGCTGCATCTGAAATCTACTCTCTAAATAGGGAGTTCTTTTCAATAATTAATTACTTAATTTAAAAAATATGTTCTATATAGTTTGAATGTGTAGTATGTGGACGTACGACATTTGTCATGTTGTCAGTATCATGTGACCTATCAGCATCAGTTGCATTGCTTTACTGCCTTTCATAACTCTTATCTGTGGCCTCATGGGATAGTAAAGTGTCCATTGGTATTTTTGGCCACTATATAGTAGGGAAGTAGGCATATTATTTAGATGCAGCCAGTCACTTGTTTTGTTTCTGAATGAATCCGTGTTTTGAACAAATCGGCTGAATGAGTCAATAAACACAGTCTCTTTTCACCACCTACTGGAATACTGATATAACCTGCAGAAAGAGTTGCTGAGAAATACAAACCACTGATTTACAGACTGTCTGTCTTGAACACGCAAACACTAATAAGCTGAGTAATTCAGTTTTAATGGAAAATCTTTTGCTAAATGGCAGCAAATTAAACCAGCTATCTAAAACAATCAAGACTGTTGTTATAGTTCTTATTCCAGTTTGACATATTATCAATCATTTTACAACTAATCGAGTTTAGTTGGCTATCATTCACATTTTTTTCCCTCATAGGGTGAATTCCTGGGCTCTGTGAGAATTGGATACACCATTGGTCACACTGTGTCTCTTATATCCCTCATTATTGCCATCATCATCCTGTGCTTTTTCAGGTAAATCCTCAAATACAACTCAAAATATACCATTGGTGTGTTTTATAGGACATGAGTCATTAGACCTTGGCTCTTTATGACTTTTGCCTTTCTCACAAGGAAGAAACTCGCAAATAACTCAAATTTGATAGTTTTGATGTCCTCAGTGGATGCCCACATTTTATGCGATTGATTCAGCTGTGATCCATAGCAGCAAATCAGTGTTCTGCTAAATCACACTGGTGTCAAGCCAGAAGACCTTGTTCAAAATGCCCTGTTTTATATCACATTTAACAATACATTGCGAAAGTGCACCAATTCAGGCATTTGATTGGGTTATACACAGTTTCCATTATTGCACAACCTCCCAAACAAAATGGCTTGGTGTTTTGTGAATGTCCCGCTCAGTGACCTCAGAGGTGAAGCCAGATCTCAAGTGTATTGAACAGCTTCCTCTTTTAGCTTACATCACACATAATTAAACAGGAACACAGTTCTTGAGAGTCTTGATATGTTTAAGCTCTCATAGTATACGAGTTTCCTACTCAGCTTTGAACACAAGCAGTGTGTTTGAACCGGCTCTCCTCAACATGAACAACATATATGAATGAAGAACACTCTTTTGAGTGTAGATAATAATGTAGCCTACGGATATTTCATGAATTGAGAATTTGATTTTATAAAATTATATATATGTGTGTGTGTGTGTGTGTTCCAAATTATTATGCAATTGACATATCAGTAGGATTTTAGTACAATAAACATTTAAACATTCATATTTTAGTTTTTCAATTAAAGTGTTTGTTTATTTTATTTATTGAATCTTTTTAGATAACTGGTATCAATATCATTCTCAGACAGGTTTGATAATTAGTTTGCCAGGTCTTCTTAGGTAAATGGAAAACCAACTTAAAGAGGTTTTTCCACATTATTAAGCAAGTCACAGTTATCATGCTATATGGGGTGGAAGAAAGATCTTTCTATGAAGATGAAAAGCGTGAAATGGTGCAATGTCTTTCAAAAGGCATGAAAACAACTAATATTTTGTGAAAACTGAATAGAGATTATCAAACTGTCGAAAGATTTGTGAGTGATTTAAAGGACAGAAGAACCCGATCAGATAAAGGCTTATTAAGGGAAGTGTCTGTCAAACAAATGAATTGTATCAAAAGGACAGCTATAAAAAAGCCACTGCTGAACAGCAAACAGTTGAAAGATTATGTGTAGCCTATTTTCAGTCATCTTTAGTCAGATGTTTACATTGTAACTGTGCCTCAGATGCAATCAACTCTTGCAGGGTAGATCGATCTCCTGTGGGAGGGCGAGGGCCTAACAGTTTCCTATTGAATGTAGCCCTTTTGTCTTAATGTATAAAATTCTGTCTCACAGACATTGGGATGGGGGAGATAACATCCACAATAACCAGAACAACCAAGTAAACTAAGTGCACTAAGTTCCCGTACGAACCGGACGGACCAATTATCTGCGGAACATGACTAAAGTCTGGTTTATTTAATTGTGCATGTGTGGCGCGCAAATCACTGTAGGCTATAGCAATATGTTCCTATCGTGATGCTGATGATAAAATGTGCGACCCATTTGAATTCTATTGAGAATTTGCCACTTTAAAACGGTATGGAGAAAGTCAAACGTGATCAAAAACAGCCACATAAACTGAAAAGACTGATAAAAAGTGGAGAAAACATCATCTTGCACCAACATAAAACAGAAAGCGTTTTAAACTACTCATGACCACCTTTACTAGAATTTATCACTTCTATTGTAGTAAATGTTGACTGACTTGTTATAACTAACTAATAATAGATTATCTGTCAAGGGAACATATTATTTTTCATTACAACTGTGGCATGTTGTAGCAACCTATAGTTTCTATGCTATTTTTCATAACAAATGCTATAGATGAAAAAGAAAGAGAAAAGCCATCAATGGTCTTACCTGTGATTATCCTTATTGTAACAAATACTATAGTTAAACAATTACAAGAACTTTTATAAGGCTGAGTACAAGTTAGAATCAAGAGCTTTAATGTCTGGACCTTCTTGAATTATTGACTAAACAATTGGTTTCCCCCATGTATAATATGTGTTCTGCTAATAATGACAGATATTATGAAAAACCTGGCAGATAAGTGGAAATTAACATTGTCAATATTAAAACATTTTAAGTAAAGTTTTAGATAAAATTCTCAAACTGATATTTTGTAGGTGCTTAAATAATATAAAATACATTCAGTTATGTTATTAACAAACTTTGTATGTGGATGATACTACAAAAGACCATTTTGCAAAAATAAATAAACAAACAAGCAAGCAAACAGATAAATCTCATGAGGGAGCAAGCCCTGGGACCCCGCTAAACGGTTAACACTTCAAACCATCTCACTTCCCAATATTCCAGCCCAAATCATCACCCGCTAGCTCCTTGCTGACGTCACAGTCTTGTTGGAGCGGGGTGGCCATTCACCTACCATCCAGAAGTCCATCCATCTGGACCATCCATTGCAGCACAGCATTCGTCAGTATACACAACTATTTAAAAATGAGTCTTCATGTATTTCTAAACCCATTGTAAAGGGTTTTCTTTGTGCAGCTTTATGCACAACTGGCAGCCTGCATGGAGAGGTTCTTGAGGCTCCAGAGACACCAGCAGCTTCAAATAATTGTTTGCTGCTCAACAGTGGCTTTTTTAATAGCTGCCCTTTTAATAAAATGATTTAGTTTGACAGAAACTTCCCTTCTAAAGCCTTTATCTGACTGGGTTCTTCTATGCTCTAAATCACTCACAAATCTTTTCGCTCTATTCAGTTTTTGCAAAATATTAAGTTGTTTTGCATGCCTTTTTAATGACATTGCACCATTTCATGCTTTTCATCTTCAAAAAGATCTTCCTCCCCATATAGCATGATAACTGTGACTTGCTTAATAATGTGAAAAAAACTCTAAGTTAGGTTTTCCATTTACCTGAGAAGACCTGGCAAAATACTCAACAAACCGGTCTGAGATTAATACCAGTTACCTAAAAAGATACAAGAAATAAAACTCAAAAAACACTTCCTTTGAAAAACTCAAATATGAATGTTTATTGTACCGAAATCCTACTGATATGTCACTTGCATAATAATTTGGTACAGAGTGTATATGCAGAGTTTATTATGTAAACTTCAGCACTTGGTTAATTTTGTTTTTGCGTATCATTTATTATGTTGAAACAAACCATTGAGTCTCTTTCTGTCTTTGCTTTCCAGAAAACTGCACTGCACAAGGAACTACATCCATATTCACCTGTTCATGTCTTTTATACTGAAGGCTGTGGCTGTAATAATGAAGGATGTTGTCCTGTATGAGGTGGAGGAACCTGATGACTGCCACTATGGATCTGTAAGTGGTTTTTAAGTAAACAATGTTTACATCCAGAGAAAAATCGCGATTTTAAATCATATTTTTCACTTGAATATTACCACATGAAGTACATTCATTAGATTATATAGGTGTATTTGGTTGCGTTCTACTTTATTTCTGCTTTCTTAGCTGAATGTAACTGCACCTGGTGAATGCAATTGATTTTTCCCCCCTCTTAATGTAAGAAACAAACAGCACAGACTCCACAATTGATACACTGTCAGGAGTAAATTGCTCTAATGTTTTGTCATAAGGTTTGCTCTTTAAATGTTGGTTGGTAAAGTGCTCATTAATCTCATTTTGTGGCGAGGCGTAGCTGTGTTTGAGCAGTCCTTTTAAGATCTTTGAAGAGTTTGTAAATTACCTCCCTCATCCGGATATGGTCGACGCTGTATTTACCCAGCATCACGGTAATGTTTGGCTTGTTTAGTGCCATTCACATATTAATGGCATATGTGTAGTGCTCGGATTTAAGAAAAGAAAGAAAAAAAAAGTGAAGAAATAACATTTCGTTAATAAAGAGTTATTGGATAATAAAGGGTTATTAGAAAAGCTTACATTTTCGACGGCCTGTGTGTGTAAAGGTTTAATAGTGTGTTCTCTGTGTGTTTTTCTATAAACACTCTTCATCTGGGTCTGAGTGTTTTGAGTAGTCTGGATGCAGCTGTTGGCCAACAGAATATGTCACATCTGTCACAACAGGGTGCTCAAACACTCATGATGGCACGGTATCCCCTCCATAAACACCCTTGCAAGGTCACAACAACATGTTTGACATTTAAGCAGCCCGTAGAGGAATCAGGCTTACCGGTAGTTGGATATTGTCGTTAATTAAAATGGATTCTCTATATAGATTGTTTATGTCTGTGTGATTATTGCAATAATTATTAAAAGTTCTGGGTGATAATTAAATCTAGTATATCTGAACAGTCAGTGCACTACAAGTTTCACACATTAACAGACCAGCATGCAGAGTTCTTTATATGTGTTTACACTCTTTTTAATGCCCCTCTTTAGAAGGATTGCACAATGTTTTCTAGTGCCAAGCGCATGCAACACACCAGCGCAAAGGCATTCTCTTTGTTTAAGTACATGGTAAACATGCAAGACCGCAGTTCCTGTTATAATATACACAAGTGCATAATAGTTCTAAACAAAATCCTCTCTGCATTTTACAGGTGGGCTGCAAGGCTGCGGTGGTTTTCTTCCAGTACGGCGTCATAGCCAGTTTCTTCTGGTTATTGGTGGAGGGTCTGTATCTGCACGCTCTCCTGGCTGTGTCCTTCTTCTCTGAGAGGAAGTACTTCTGGTGGTACATTCTCATTGGATGGGGTGTGTATGTGCATGTATCTCAGTGCCAGTGAAATTAAGATATATGGCCCCTCAGTCTCGTAAATCTTCACGACAGGAGAGAAACGGCTGTCAAATATGAATGAAAAATGTATCACTAAAGTCAATAGGACCTAGTCCATGTACAGACTCGAGATTTAACAATTAACCTTTCCATTGACGTCACTATATTGTGTTGGAAAAAGTTTCACGTAACATTTCTTTAAATTAAGGATTGTATAATAAGATAAGCAGGCGCCGATCTGTGTCTCAGGATCAAGTAAGATTTGAGGCTAATTGGAAATCCCACTTGTTTTATTGAATTCCTAATGGTTGTTTAGGCCAATTAAATAAGGAATCCCTGGAAATATGCCTTAATTTATGCCTTCATATGTCAAAACTGTATGTATTCAAATATTGATAATATTTATAGTCGATATGTGTGTTACAGGAGTTCCGGGTGTCTTCATAACAATCTGGAGCATCACAAAAGCTTATTTACATGATATTGGGTAAGTAAATGGAGCTTGTTCAGAGAACAGCACTTCTATAAAGCCATATAAAAAATACTTGTTGTAGCCACCGTTACCTAAGAGTAACAAATGGAGTAAGGATGTAACCATTTTTATGAGTTTTATGAGCTCAGTTGAATTTCTGTCTTCTGCACACCTTTTGCCGATAGCTACAGTATAGCTGACACTGTAAATTTCACTCAAGGCTATTCCTTGATGATAAATGACATGCTGTTATGGAGGTCAGTAGTTTATATTTAGAAGAGAGCTCATAGGAGTGGACATTTGAATATAATTTACGTGGATATTTTCTTCTTCATTGCCTCATTTAAAAAAAAATTAATTCTTTGGTTTTGCATTAAATCTACATGTAGAATGGAATGCAACATACGTTCAGTGATTGTCCATTTTTTTAGCAGCCTTGGGTCTGGAAATATTTTTCCACATTCATTTTTAATTTTAAACAATTTATTTAACAAAGAGTTTAAGAAAATAAACTATATCAATTAGCTTTGTTTCAATGGTAAAAGTGATGTTTAACTCTTCAGGATTGACTCTTTTCACATTTCCGGGTTTCTCAGAATTGGAAGTCGTCATAGTTGGGTAAACCTTTATAGCGGTGAATGAGAGAATACATTAAATATATTTTTTGTGTTCCCATTTGCTCAAATAGCATAAGAAAATCTCCACAAGTGTTTTCACATCTTTCAAAAAGAGGAAAAAATATATAGATAGATTGATAACGGCAGTAACAACCTTGTAGCTCAAGGTAGATCTGTCTTAAATGGTTTTGCTGTTGCTGAAAAGAAATTTATCTATGCAGAAAATGTATGAGAATTTTACTTGCAGAACCCAAATGTTATGCTCCATCACCATAGATTCATTCTACAGCTATTATTTCCGTTTAACAGATGCTGGGATTTTATTGACGATGATCTGTGGTGGATTATAAAAACCCCTACGTTGATAACAATACTGGTGAGTGACCGTACAGCAGCATTAAATTCTAATATGGCAATTTAACATAAACTAATATGGCAAGTGGTGCATGCAATATTCAAATAGGTCCTAATCTGTTTTTCTCTAGATGAACTTTATTCTCTTCATTTGTATCATACGGATACTTCGTCAGAAAATCAGTTCCCGGGATATTGGGAGAAATGAATCACACCAGTACTCGTGAGTTTTTGTGTTAGACCATAGACACCGCGGTCTTACATGCACAATATAAAAACAAAAGTATTCCAACATATGCCATTTCTTTCGATTTACAGGAGACTTGCGAAATCAACTCTACTTTTGATTCCCTTGTTTGGAATAAACTACATAATCTTTGCCTTTATGCCTCATCATATCGAGTCTTATGTGCGTCTGGTGTTTGACTTGATCCTGGGGTCTTTCCAGGTAGGCAGCAGTGGACTGAAACATGTTTTTACCCACAGCTGCACTCTTCTATATGCAATTGCTTATCTAGTTTGGATTTCTTAAATGCCAATTGAATACTAAGATTTGCCACAGCAATAGACTCACCGTGGGATCTGCCAGCTTGCCTCAACCCCAGACATGCCCAGTGAAATGTATTCCCTCCATGTTTGTTACGCAGCTAGATGAAAAGGTCGAATGTGGATATACAAAAATGGCCTTAAATACTTTAACCCCCTGGGGTCGGCTATCGCGCCGGCGATATTTATATATTTACAATCCATCTTTTTCTGAAGTCAGAAATTTAATTTTAGTTATATTGAAATTTAAATATAACATTGATTTTGTGGTCTAAGATGGTAATTTCTTTCATTTGATTTATTATTAAAACTGATTCTGATTAAGTCTTCTAGTTTTTAAAAATTAGTTTGTTGCTAAATTATAAGGATTGAGTTTTGTTCTACATAAACCTGTAAAATATTTAACTATGACTGACTTTTTTTTCTTCAGGGATTTTGTGTCGCTGTCCTATATTGTTTTCTAAATGGAGAGGTAATATGACCAGAATTTAATTTGTATTTATGTTTTATTAAATCAGAGAGAATTGCACATGCCAGTTACACTACCAGTCAAATGTTTGGAAACACATGACTGAATTTGTTTCTTGTGATCATAAAAATCTTTTAGCAAAAATAACTGGAATTTTCATTCACTCACTGTCCAGGTTCAGTCTGAGATTAAACGAAAGTGGAGGCGGTGGCACATGCAGAGATTTCTGGGAGCTGATACCAAGTACCAGCAGCCCTCAATGGCAAGCAACGGCCTCAACTTCAGCTCCCAAATCACTATGATGACGAAATGCAGCCCAACCACACGTCGCGCTTCCGCCTGCCAAGATGACTTCTCCACCGTCTGAGTGCCGAGTGATGCTCCGTTTATAACTGGACACAGAAACCAATAAATCTGTGCTGTACACCGCACCACCTCCACCATCTGCAGGGTGCAGCTCCGTCGTCATTCCTGTAGGAACTGCGCATCTCACTGCTCAGCAGGAACATGAGGGAAACCGTGCAGCTCAAGGCTTATGGGGATGGTCTGGCATGTGATGGTGGCCATAGCCATCATTTCAAACACATCGATCAGGAGGGAAATATGCGGGTAAAATGGACTTTTTCAGGCTTGATTGTGTTTCATTAAACTACTGACTCTGAACAGCAAAGGACGCTGACTTTAGTACAAGGATGCGATCAGAGTGATTTTGCTGAAGAAGAAGCGTTTGATTCGTGGTCCCCATCCATTGCCCCATTTTTGTGCACAACACCACCACAGGCATTAATCTTCTAGTTGGTATCTGTCTGTTGTGTTTTTCTGTTTCTCCTGCTTTCATTATGCTGCTCAAGATTTGTCAGACTCTTAATAATCTGTAAAGCTGAATGGTGACCTTTTAGGTCTCTTGTGACCAGGTTTTATTTTTATCTCCTTCCTTTTTCCAGGAAAAAAGTCATGTGATTCAGACAGACTGACATTCTGCTGCAATCCTGGTTTTGCATCCTACCCATTTGTGTCATGTGCTTGCATGTCTGTGGACATGTGGACAAACACAAAAGTCTCTCATTGAGAGTCATAAAAGCAAGCTTACTTGTGCAGCTGAAGTATATTGCGTCATTCTATATGTTTTATGATAGTGATTTATAGTGTATTTGTATAGTTCTATGTTAACATTTACATGGGTTGTGTAACTGTACTGTTGCATAAAGACGATGAGATTGGTCTTTCTAAAGAGGATATTCAGTCCAAGATCTTTTTAGCTGTCAGAAGTACATGCGTATTGTTAGTCATAGTTGCTGGCATGAAAATGCTCCTGCATGTTTGCATGCACAGTTCTTGTAGTGTGAAAAAGATGTACATCTAAGAGGAAATGTCCCTATAAGAGTGTTGTTGCTGTTTTTTTGAAAGTGTATTGTGGATGTTGTCATAGAAAGTATACAGATCAATTTTATTACATTAGGTCCTATGTCTTTTCTATTAAATTATTTATTTTCAGTTATTTTTTTAGTTTCTATTTAACGATCATTAACGATCACCTATAAGCGATTTAAATTAGTTTTATTTATTTTAAATAAAACTTAGTTTTAATAGGTAATTGCCTTCAAAGTTATATATATATATATATACACTCACCTAAAGGATTATTAGGAACACCATACTAATACTGTGTTTGACCCCCTTTCGCCTTCAGAACTGCCTTAATTCTACGTGGCATTGATTCAACAAGGTGCTGAAAGCATTCTTTAGAAATGTTGGCCCATATTGATAGGATAGCATCTTGCAGTTGATGGAGATTTGTGGGATGCACATCCAGGGCACGAAGCTCCCGTTCCACCACATCCCAAAGATGCTCTATTGGGTTGAGATCTGGTGACTGTGGGGGCCATTTTAGGACAGTGAACTCATTGTCATGTTTAAGAAACCAATTTGAAATGATTCGAGCTTTGTGACATGGTGCATTATCCTGCTGGAAGTAGCCATCAGAGGATGGGTACATGGTGGCCATAAAGGGATGGACATGGTCAGAAACAATGCTCAGGTAGGCCGTGGCATTTAAACGATGCCCAATTGGCACTAAGGGGCCTAAAGTGTGCCAAGAAAACATCCCCCACACCATTACACCACCACCACCAGCCTGCACAGTGGTAACAAGGCATGATGGATCCATGTTCTCATTCTGTTTACACCAAATTCTGACTCTACCATCTGAATGTCTCAACAGAAATCGAGACTCATCAGACCAGGCAACATTTTTCCAGTCTTCAACTGTCCAATTTTGGTGAGCTCCTGCAAATTGTAGCCTCTTTTTCCTATTTGTAGTGGAGATGAGTGGTACCCGGTGGGGTCTTCTGCTGTTGTAGCCCATCCGCCTCAAGGTTGTGCGTGTTGTGGCTTCACAAATGCTTTGCTGCATACCTCGGTTGTAACGAGTGGTTATTTCAGTCAAAGTTGCTCTTCTATCAGCTTGAATCAGTCGGCCCATTCTCCTCTAACCTCTAGCATCAACAAGGCATTTTCGCCCACAGGACTGCCGCATACTGGATGTTTTTCCCTTTTCACACCATTCTTTGTAAACCCTAGAAATGGTTGTGCGTGAAAATCCCAGTAACTGAGCAGATTGTGAAATACTCAGACCGGCCCGTCTGGCACCAACAACCATGCCACGCTCAAAATTGCTTAAATCACCTTTCTTTCCCATTCTGACATTCAGTTTGGAGTTCAGGAGATTGTCTTGACCAGGACCACACCCCTAAATGCATTGAAGCAACTGCCATGTGATTGGTTGATTAGATAATTGCATTAATGAGAAATTGAACAGGTGTTCCTAAAAATCCTTTAGGTGAGTGTATATACACACACACACACACACACACACACATGCTCCTGGGGGAGGGGTCACGTCCAAAATGTCTAAAATGTCAAAGCTTTTAGTTGTCTCTTATTTATTATTGGTCAGGGAATTTGCAAAATGTTATCAAATGCATTACTTAAAGTCATTGCTGTCTCAGAAAAACATCAAAGACAGAATAAAGTTTTTGGCAGAATAAGGGAAGTTGTGTGTGGAGTGATGAATCACAAAGAAATGATGATCCAGAGCGGCGTCTTCGAAAATCTGCTGAGAAATATAATAATAAATGCAACTCTACCATAGTGAAGCATGGGGGTAGAGTATCATTGTGTGGGGAGCCTTTTTAGCTGCTGGTATTGGTATTGTAAAAAGTAATTTAATGTAACAGGAGAATGTTGCGATGGCTTGATTTCCTCAAGGAAAAAGTTATCTAAAGAGGAATGATCAGATGTTATTTTTCAACAAGACCCAAATTGCAAAGACAACCAAGAAGTGGCTTGAGAACAAGTCCGTCAGGCTAATGTTTTGGCCTCAAATCAAGTCCAAATTTGAACCCTATAGTGAATATTTAGTCTCTCATTAAACTCAAACGAACATTTAACTGTTTAAAGCCATCGTCATTGAGTGGAACAACACTGACTCTTCTTTCAGGAAAAAGCTGTCTGCAAGTTGGGGAAGGCTATGCTAAGTTACTGCATTTCTTGTTTAGACCAATAAACAACCACTTCATATTTTTTGGTTTGCCCCCTTTTATTTATTTATTTTTGCCCACGAGTGTGTGTGTATATCATAGACTGTAAAATATGTGTGTATATATATATATATATATATATATATATATATATTATTAGATATATTATCATTTGATTATATAAAAATAACAATTTTTTTCTTCTGTGGTTAGGTATACACAAGGGTCTCAAAACAAGCTGAACACATTGTATTAATTCTGGTATTAAATCAACCACAATAACAAATGCTTTGTTTTCATTTATTGTGGATTTCAGATTTCTCCTGAAGTTTAAAAAACTTAACTTCATGTAAATGCCTGCTAGAGACATTACTGCTAGCTAAGATGACAATCAAATATTGAGCAAAAATGATGAAGTGAGAGAAACCAGACCCAGTGAAAGGTGAGAGAGTCTTTGTTTACCTCCCGTCTGAAACACATCTCTCATTTATTTATCTATACCAAATCCCTTCTTAAATTATTCTCGTAACTCTCTTTCTCTCCTTATCCCTTTGTGTAACTCTACAACACAGCATGACCAAGCCTGGTTTAAAATTACAGAGAGATCTCCAATACATAAACAATTTTTTTTTTTTTTTTTTTTTTTTTTTTTTTTTTGTCAGTGAGCAAATGAGCCAACAGGAGGCAGTGACTCCTGAGGATTTCATTGAAATGAATGCACTCCCATGGGGGGAGGGCTGGAAACCGCTGGAAACCAAGCCTAGAATCACACCATGTTAATTAGGTAGATATAAATATTAATGAAAGCATGAAACCCCCTCTTATAACAAAAGCCTCAAATACTTCACAAATGGAATGTTTAAAGACTATGGCATATTATAATTAAATTCTCATAACTCATTAATACAACTATAAACATCTTTGTTTGAGAGGCTTATTATTAGATGCCCTATACTGACATCAGTTTTTATAGTCCATAGCTATGATTTATGGATATTTGTAAATTAGCCTACATAGCCTAATCTTACTCATAAAGTTCGAAAATCACTTAGATTTACAACCTTCCTCTTACACCATGTTGTTGAGGACATTTTTTATGTCTAATGATTTTCATCTTTTTTGATCGTTTAATGCTATATGGGTTACAGCAGCAGATGTTAGGGCTTGTTCACAGAACTAACGTTAAGTTCAGAAGAATCAGAAAAGAAGCGACTTTAGTCTTCAAACCCAACTATGAAGAGTTGGGTGCATGAGAGAATGCATTAAATATATTTTTATATAAAAAAATAGAGAAAGATTGATAACGGCACTCAGAAAAAGATTTCGACTTTACCGTTACTCACACAGCCGCTGAATTAGAAACCATTTATAACATAAGCCTGCCCTACATCTACATGTCTGTTAGAAACACCCTCACAGCAGCGACAGCTATTTATTTTTTTATTTTTTTTGATGCAAAGGTAATATTATACTATAGTGTTAGAAATTAACATAAAAATAATGAAAATATAAAAAACCTCGCAGGATTTAAGATGCCGACACTGTTATAGGTTAAAACGCGTCATCACAGCCTTTGAAAAGGGTCATCTGAGTCTAATCATAGAGTCTAATGGGCTTCTGGCAGTTTAAAATTAAATTTTTGTCAGTTGGAGTTGAACAACAGTCTTGGCTCATTTCATTTGAACATTCAGTCAATGTAGGCTGCCGCTGTCTACTGGAAAACCGTCGGATCAGTTAGAAAAGATCGCAACCCGATGAAAAGTAACATTCAAAACATCAAAAGTACATTCTTTTAGTGAAACCCATAGACTGTAAAAAAACACACACACACACACACACACACACACACACACACACACACACACACACACACACACACACACACACACACACACACACACACACACACACACACACACACACACACACACACACACACACACACACACACACAAAAAACAGTTGTGAGTGCAACGATGATTTCGAAAAGGCGTCTAACAGAAACGGTGTTCTAGCGACACCTCGTGGCCAGAGTGGCGCTGTCTGTCTGTGTCTGCGGTGAACCAGTTAACTCCGCTGTGGACTCGATGACCCCGCTGCCATGGGCTCTGCTGCAGTGGCTGCGCAGCTGGCGCCAGGTGCTCAAGGAAACCGTTTTAAGACATTCAAAAATGCGTTCTTTCCATTTGTAATTATAATTTCCGTCGAAAGATGCTGATTGTGTATTTCCCTCCTTTAATCACGTCCCTGTCGCTTTAAAGCTCCAGACAAAACGACCCATATGATTTTCGACCTCCAATCACCATCACTCCCTGGTTGAGAGTGCGAGCCCTTCTGCGTGCGGACATGGCGAAAAGGGACAGATTTCTAAGCAGAAAAGCACAGTGGGGATATGAGTGACAGCTGTTTTCATGAAAACGAAGCACTGAAATGCTAAGGAAGGGAGACGGTACTCCTTCGAGGCAGAGAGCACTGAATCACCATGGTTGTAAGACCCTTTTTCTGTTTATTACCTGCATATTTCTGAGGTTTATTAGGCCTGTACAATATGACATGTATCAGTCACATCTGAATGACGATGTGCTTGTCTTACAGATGTGCTGATATCATGCAGTTCCCACATCTGGGAAGAGCTTCGACAAC